CCACTGAAACCATGACTTTGGGCATTTACTGAATTGATGGCACATCAACCTGAGAATTCCCAAAATGGAAGCTCCCACCCCAGAATATCTCTGAGGTGATACTGAAGATAATATACCTACTGGGGGCATCCTGGTTTCCTTCGCAATGCCTCCTAGTTCATTTGCTTGTGGTGCTGGGTTAGGATTTGGCTGAAAGTTTTCGGAGAATTGTCAAACACTACACCAGAAAAGACGTATGTCTCTAGTATATGGGCCTTGATCACAATCTCCATCCTGGAAGAAAAGCTAGAACTACTCTTGCCTTGGACCCCATGGAACCCTAGACTTGGCATCCCATAGCAATGCATCTCCTAAAATTATATGATACAGAGAAATTATTATGATATTCTCATACCATCTTAAGATGTGGTGCAGAGACCAATATCATATATTAGTCATTTTATCTGGCAAAATAACTTTGTTCCTTACAATATTCTGTGCTCATTCATAGAAAGCCATCATCCTATGATTTTATCATGACAATAATTTCAAATATAGAGAGAAATTACCTGTGAAAATTACCTGTCAGCCAGCAACTTATCTAATCTTGTCTCATCAACATCGTTCTCAATCTTGAGAGAAAACCACAAAAAGTCTGAATATTCTATCCAACTGAAGTTTTATACCACAGAGAAAAATGTAATATAAGGTGCTGGGCACCTGTAAACTTCAGCACGAAACACAGGCTAAAACATTATCTTAGCAAATGAGCCCGGAAAGATATATTGAAGGAAGAAGCATTAGGGAGAAGAGAGTGTCTTGTCCAGACATCCTCTGGTGAGGTCCTATGCAGGGCAGAGCTCCTCTGTCTCCTCTGCTGCTTTGTCTTGAGTAAAGAAAGTCAGGTGGGAACTGCAGGTGAGAGAATGAGAGGAAGCAGAGCAGCATGCCTCAGTTAGGGGCGTATCACCGGTAGGGAGATTATCTGCCAAGCTGTGGCAATGCTCTGGAAAAACAAAGTTTGCTTCTAGCATATGAAATAGTTAAAACAACAGGAATGTAAGTTTTTAATTAATGAAGGTAGCCAGAACTTTCGCTCAGTAGTTTTGATAAGTATGTCTGTTGATAATGGAACTCTCCTTTATGTAGAAATAGATATGTAGAAATGCTGAACAAACTAACATACATGAGATCTCTCTATCTCTGTCTCTCTCATGTGCACAAACACACACACACACATACACGCATGTACATGCATACACAGGCACAGTCCCAGTGTTGAATACAAAGATGGACTCCAAAATCAGACCAAGGAGATGCAGCTGTTAGAGGAAGACTAGATGAAAGGGTCTGGGTAGCCTTTGCCTTTGCCTTTGCCTTTGCCTTTGCCTTTGCCTTTGCCTTTGCCTTTGCCTTTGCCTTTGCCTTTGCCTTTGCCTTTGCCTTTGCCTTTCCCTTTCCCTTTCCCTTTCCCTTTCCCTTTCCCTTTCCCTTT